AGAAATCCAATTAAAAATTTTAGAAGAATCAATAAGAGAATTACGAGATTTAGTAAAAAAAAAAAGCCAAAGAAATTATTTAAACCAATTCAACTGGATGATCAACAAGTTCTAATGGATGGTATAGATAGATTAACTCAGTTATTAAAAAAAATGTAATATTGAAGAAAATAGGCGACAAAAATAGATGATGGGGATAAATAAGGAATAATCTATAGAATAAATAGTGTACATAAAAATGAACTCACATTTAATATGACTGATAAAAAATCTCCATACAACACCTTATAACCAAAACGACATAGAACACATAGCAATGAAGCATCTAGTTCACAAAATATTTATACAAAATGAAATTTTAGAGATTTTATATATAAAAATGATTATATATATATGTTAGGATCAACAATTCAAAACCCAATTCTCCATCAAGCCCAACATACAAGCCCAAATGGGGTTCCACTCTAAAACCAATTGGCAATAGAGGGAGTAGCCCACTAAGCTTATATATTGAACTTGAACCCATTAATTTTTCGATGTGGGATTGGGTTTGCACACCCAACAACATTGGGTCTCTCCTTAAACGAAATTCATACGATCCGACCATCTTGTACCGCCGTTATCACCCACGGATATCTTGTACCGCCGTTATCACCCACGGAACCCACCGCCTGACCACACTTATTCGCCAGGAAGACTTTCGACACAAGGCACACAGATCTACCGGCCCTTCCGGCTCCACGGGGAACATGCCACGTCATCCACATCGTAACTGGGCTACCAACCGTGGCTCTGATACCAATTGTTAGGATCAACAATTCAAAACCCAATTCTCCATCAAGCCCAACATACAAGCCCAAATAGGGTTCCACTCTAAAACCAATTGGCAATAGAGGGAGTAGCCCACTAAGCTTATATATTGAACTTGAACCCATTAATTTTCCGATGTGAGATTGGGTTTGCATACCCAACAATATATATATATATATCATCAAGAAAAAATTACGAAAAATATACCTCTAGCGTATTTAGAAAAAAAAAAAGTTCTATTTAATGAAATACCAAATATAAATTGTACAACCAATGTGGAAAATTTACTAGGAATAGTACGCAAAAAAATCCTCCAAAATTTCATGCCACTTTGGTATTTTTTTTTTTTATTTTTACCTTTTTACCATAAAATGGACAGAATGGAGCAATTTCGGCACCTGAACAGTACAAACGGGTAGCTAGAGTAGTCGGACATTCCGCTCGCACATTCTTAGACAACAAGGTAACATCTCTACGTAAATAAGTGAGTTATGGTCATTTACACTCTAGACACTCTAATATACTTTCAATACATCATCTTCTTTATCATTGTTCACTGACTTGAGCGTTGGAGCTTCTACGCCAAAACCACTCTAGAGTCCCGACGTTGTTTTGAAGACCTTTGAACCAATCGAGAGCAATCAAAGTCATTTGCATCACCACAACCCAAGCTAGAATTTACAAGTCGTACTTGTTATTTAACACTCGAACTCAACTGGCTTGGAAACATACTCAACATAACCATCCCCAAAGATATACAATACACCAAACAGAAAGCATGAATATACAAATATCGATTGCATTTTTACCAGTTTCAAACAAGATAATCTTTTACTTGTCACTCCATAGAGGAATTTGTGTATGAATCAGAAAATATATATATATATATATAAAAAAATGAAAAAAGAAAAAAGAAAAATATAAAATGTCATCACAATGGACAACAATGAAATAGTTTGTAATTCTTGAAGAAGCATCATAAAAGTTGTCTGTTCCAACATCTAAAGGAATAAATGGTCATACCAAAAACTTCATAGATAAAAATGGCCACATGAAGAATAAACTCCCGACATTTTCAGAAATAAAAATGGCCATATTAAGAAAACTAAAGGAAGATAAGACACATGATGAACTATTACATATGACACCAAATCTACTCCGCAAAACGGTCCCAATATCTGTCTGAAACACCAAAACATCCTGCAACAAAAATGTTTTGAGGTAATATAGGATAGAAAACAGAAACTACACAAGCAGCATTGGGAGCACATGGAAACACTGCAGTTACAGTTAAACAAATATTTTTGTAGGATTCTTTCTTTTCCTTTTTCTTTCGATCTTTTTGACACGACTATCTTAAAAACATTAATCAAAAAAGAAAAACACTTGATAAATAGAATCTAAAAATACTCACATATTTTGTTGAAGGCCACAATGTCAACACTCTGGACATATTCATTGATCGGTTCAGCTGTAAGATAGTCCTCAATGAGGTTGTCAACAGAAACTAGATCGTCCACAATGGTAATCATAATCTGCAGCTTCTTGATTCCATAACCAACAGGAACAAGTTTAGCTGTAGAAACCACAAATATATTAACTTATCATTCTTAAAATGTGCGTCGAGTAAGAATAAATGTGTATTCAGATTTCAGAGTCGACACTGTTCAACGATAAACCTCCATATATGAATGATCATGACAAACAGAAAATTCTCATCCGAAATTCAGGGGTTGGTCAGCTATCCAATCAATGTTGATCCACATTAATAAAGAAGGCATTTATCTTGCTGTGATAATTGTATATTCGAGTCCAGTTTAACAGCAGTTAATATTCATATATAGAAGGAGAAAAAAGCTTACAAGCTCCCCAGAGGAGACCCTCCATCTGCACGCTTCTAACAGCTTCTTCAAGCTTTTTCATGTCAGTTTCATCATCCCATGGTTTTACATCCATCAGAACTGATGATTTCCCAGCTGAAGAGGACAAAATGGGGAAAAAAATAGAATCAAGAGTCCTAAAGATAAAAAGTACTGCTACTAGATGACTAAAAGATGAGAGTTATAATAATTACATAAATCAAAATATTCCAACTAACTCGTGCAAACTTATTCCATGAAAACTCAATCTAAGTACAGAATAGAATTCGACTAACATTCTTTCTTCTTTGAGGAAGCCTTAACAGCAGCAGCACGTTCCTCGGCAGCTTTCTTCTCTTCCTCGGTCTCCTCACCAAACAAATCCACATCATCATCGTCGTCATCCTCAGCAGCTGAGGCCTGAAACTTATTCTCTTATCTATTTCAGCACATAATTACAACCACAGAAATTCAAACAATTCACTGTAACATGTATCTTGCCTTGGTGTCCGCAGCAGGAGGGGTTGCAACTGGAGCCGAGCTCTCAATCGTGACACCACTTCCTTCACCAGAAACTCCACTGCAAAATAAATATATATAATTTCAAAAAAAAAAAACCTAGACAATCTTAATAAGTTACTCAAAAATTACAGCGTAAGGCACGAGGGTCATACGAAATCCTCAACAAAGCTTCAATGTGGTTGTACCAACGTGACACATTCACATAGTCCGATGATGGAGGTTTTGAGAGGGCGGCATGAACTGTAAGATCATCCTTTGAAGCCTGATATCTGAAACAAGGGAGAGAGACTACAGTTAAAACCATGGACAAAAGTAGAAATAACTTTCGGGGAGACAAATATTATTTTTTCTTCAAAAATAGGATAACAAAGGTATTTTTCTAAGCTCTTAAAAGCCACAGGACCTTAAAAATTAGCAATTTTAAACAAAAAAATAAAAAATAAAAATAAAAAAACATCTACACCTTCTACTTCAAAACAAATTAAATGATCAAACACAATGTGCGCTCAGTACACTATTGTTGGTCCGTCGAATAATCACTTCAGAAAATGGAAGAACAACTAAGTAATTCATCACCCCTCGAATAGATAACTATAAAGTTCGTTTCTTTTTACCATCTCTTCAGTCATTTTCGTGTTGGCAGAGTAAAATTGACACTTAATTATCCACTCACTCCGTAGATCCTAATTCGAAAACTTAAAGGGATACATACAAACAGTTCACTGAATACCCAAAATCGGAAACTTAAATCAGGGAGCAGAAGTTGAGAGAAGACAGAGAATGAGAAAGGTAAAACACAACGCACCCGGTAATGTAACTGCGAGATAAAAGGTATTCATCCAGCTTCTTAAGGCCAGCCGCCGAGCTGAGGTCGTAGAAAGTGACAGCCATCGATTGATAGCAAATTGGATTTGATCTGTTCTGACTAGCAATTAGTTAAAAGCTTCAGCTACAATTTCATAACAATCGACGCCGGTTGAGCGAACAATGCTCGTGTACATATACACAGACAGAGAGATACTTACATAGAGTGGGGGCACAGGCTGCGGGAGTTGAATCTCAAATTGTTACGAGTGGTGGATGAGGAAGGGATCCCCTAGGGTTTTATAATCAGTTTATAATTATATAGGGCTGGTATTTTTTTGACCGAAAATCGAAACCGAAACCGAAACTAATCCAACTGACGAGAAAATAAATATAACCGATTTTTGGTTACCAAATTACTATTGATTTGGTATCGATTTCGAACCCAGGGTTCGGTTTTACTGAACCGAACCTATAAGAATAAAAAAAATATAGTTAAATAAAAATTAATATCATTGGGTATATTCTCACACATTTTTTGAAAATATCATTCTTAGGATTATTTTATATAAGTGTTTAGAAGTGAATATGAAGAATGGTTGTACATATAGAGAGTGGTTAAGTGTAGCAATTTTTTCATGTTTGGCAATAA